TCCCCCCCCGCCCCCACCACAGCTGCCACCTCCACTGCCACCGCCTCCTCCATCCCCTCCTCTGTTGCCACCACATCCTCCTCCTCCTCCTCCGCTCGCAGTTTCTCTTCCTTCTTCTATTTCTTCTTCTTCTTCACCCCCTCTTAGCCCCCGGCTGCTGTCCCCTGCCAAGCCTCCCAGCTCCCCTGCCAAACAGCCAGCTGTCCCCCCGCCGGCCGCAGTGCCAGAGCCTCCCCCTCGCCGGGAGCTCAAAGGGATTCTTAAGAACATTCAGAATTTAGCTGCCATCGAGAAGTCGGTGGCCAACATGTACAGCCAAATAGACAAGAACCACCTGCTGCCCAAGCACGTCTCCCGGCTCAAAGCGGCCGCGCCCCCGGAGCCGCCGACTCCGGAACCCGCGGCCGAGCACAACCAGCAGAACGGGAACTTGAGCTGCGTTGTGGAGGAGCTGGAGCAGCGCTTCCCCTCCCAGTCAACGGCACTGTGACGCTCCCAGTTGGATGTTTTCTGCATGGGACCTTTTGACTCTAATGCAGCACACGGTGTCTGCCTCAGACTCTCCGGCAATCCCGACTTTTCCCCTTTCCCCGCCGCGTATCACGACTTTTCCACCGCTAATCCCCAGCTGAGAGACCTTGTCCTTCCTGTCCGCTCGGAAATTTGTAATGTATCCTGTAAACCTACAAGTTGTTTTCTCAGAACTACATCTTGCTGTTCTGCCACGTTGGTTCTCTGTTTACTGAAAATTCCTGGGGGAAGCTGTCCATTTTTCCCCCAGGATTGGTCCCGGCCGGCAGCGGGCTCGGCGCTGCTTCACGTCAAGCAGCTCTCACTGTAGGTAATATCAGTAAGATTTTGCTGGAACCTCTTGCTTTGCCCACAAAATGTGCCACCTGGAAGGAACCTCCTGCCATGTGTTGGGTGTCAAAGCAGGCTCAGCCACGGTGAGCCGGGGTATTGGACGGGGCCTGGAGCAACCTGGGCTAGTGAAAGGTGTCCCTGCCCATGGCAGGGAGGGGAATGAGCTGATCTTTAAGATCCCTTCCAAGCATTCTATAATTCCGTGCTGCATCTTGGTATTCCACGAGCGATGACACTCCGCTCACACGCTTTGGGGCAGCTCCAGGCAGAAGAAGGGCTTTGTCTTGATTTCTCAGCAAACCTGGTTGTCTCCCCTCCTGTTACCCATGTTCTGCCTTCCATTTGTTTTTGTTTTTTTTTTACATTGTAACTGCATGTTGAAAGTTTTTATTTTGTAAATTCCTTTCGTGTACAAACAATTTGTCGGTTTGTTTTTTATTTTGCATGTGCATGTTGTTGAACGTTCACTCTAGTGAGCTTTACAGCTGAAACATCTCACCTGAAACTGTAATAAAGTCACTCTGATTAGTGTCACCAAGTACTTGTAAAAATCCATGGAATATGGATTTACTTACTGGCTTTTTTGCTCACAGTCATCTAAATCAGATCTTTACAATAAAGATGTCAATTATAATTACATAGATAAATAAATTAGCTTGTCCCTTGAAAAAAAAGAGAAAAAAAAAGGTAAGTAAAAGCAGTTTGGGCATTTGAATGTTTGGTCCAACTTGCAAGTTTTCTTTTAGTCCTTTGCCAAAATCTAAAATATTTGCATTTAACATGGCGACTTCTAAAAAACACACTGGGAAAGCCAGTTACATAAAGGAGCAAAACTAAACCCCCAGTTCACTAACAAGTGTCGTAATTCTGAGCAAAAAGGTAATGAATTCTTTCTCAGACTGCTTAGAGCCACTCAGCATTTCCATGGTGCTTGGCTTTGTCTCTTGTCTCTTGTTTGTTTGTTTTAAATCTGCAGTTAGGACATGTGTGGAGGCCTCAGGCTCAAACTGCTGAAGGTAGTTTCTCTTTCTTTGTCCCAGAGCCAAACTCCATGAATTACATCCCAGCTGATACATTAGAATTTTTCTTTACAATCCTCCTGCTGGGCAGACTGTAGTTGCAAGGTATGTGTGTAGTAGCTGAATGTGTGAGGGGAAGGATTGTCCTCATCACCTTGTTTTTGCTGGGAGAGAATCTCTCTCATTTATAGGATGTGCAGAGATGAGCACGAGAAATTATTGGGCTACACACATTCAGGGTGGATCAACCCAAAAATTTGAATTTAAGTACCCAAACCCCACTTTAGAGCTCACAGACCCCTAACAGATACTGTTGAGCAGATCACTGGTGAAATATTAGACAAATAGGGCCTCGTTTTGTGGTGTGCAGCAAAAGTGCAGGTGTTCAGTCATCCACAGTATAAACCCCACAAAGGTTTTATATGGCTACAATTATTTGGGGTGTTCCTAAGCACAAAGAGTGGACATCACACAGGAGCTCCATTTTAAACATGTATTTCACTATATGAGAAGAGTCTGGGAGGGGGTCATGGCAATCAGCTCTTCACTGATGAGGAACACCTACTTTCTCATTCTGGAAAGCTAAGTTGCAAAGTTTACAAAAACTAGTTTTATTTCCATATGATGCAGCCTTTGTTCTCCTGTTGTGGTTTTTTTTTTGGTTGGTTGGTTTTTTGGGTTTTTTTAATAGCCCTTGTTAAAAAATAATTCTATTAGACCAGGAAAGAAGCTGTACCAGGGAAGTTCTGCCCCCTGAGGTGTCTGAGTGCTGAAGGGGGAATGGTTTTCAACCAGAAGAGGAGAGTTTTAGATTAGATGTTGGGAAGGAATTGTTCCCTGTGAGGGTGGGGAGGCCCTGGCACAGGTTGCCCAGAGAAGCTGTGGCTGCCCCTGGATCCCTGGAAGTGTCCAAGGCCTAGGTTGGATGGGGCTTGGAGCGGAGAAACAACCTGGGCTAGTGGAAGGTGTCCCTGCCCATGGCAGGGGGTGGAATGAGATGATCTTTAAGGTCCCTTCCAACCCAAACCATTCCAGGATTCCACGGTACTGCAGCTCTACAAAGTATTAGAACCAATATAGTAGTCGGTAACAAGTTGAGAATATATAATGATATATATATTTATATGTATAATTTACCCCTTATTAGCTTGTCTGATCTGGTCAATTAGGGTCCAGCATGACCCTGGATATACCTCTTATCCTTTAATCATCAATGTGACAGGGCCAAGGTCTGAGCAGGAGCAGAGGTGCCATCAGTGGGAAGCTCTTCCCTGCAGAGCTGGAATGGAGCCACAGTGTGAGCCTACTCACCTCCTTCCAGAGCTGTTCTACCTCAGTTCCAACTAGGAACTGCAGGAAACCTCCCTTTTAAGAGGCAGGGCAAATGGATAAGTAGCTGTCTCCTCTGAGTAGCATCAGTAGTGTTTGGGGGTTGTGATTTTTTGGTTATGAGGTAGGAAAGGCCTGCTGGGGCCCCAGGAATGGGGGAAATGTTGCTTTGGGCAAATCACAGTTCTTTAACCATTTTTAGGAGCGAAAGGTTGGCACATTTATACATATGAATTCATTCTTGTTTCTCTCTCATACTGAGTGCCAGCACTGTCCTATTATCCTACATCCTTACAGGCACCATGGCCTTGCTTCCCACTTCCCCCTGAACATTTCTCTCTGACTGACTGCGGGGAAGCCTGGCTGATAATGTTTATCCAGAAACAATTCCTCCCTCTGTGGAGAGCTTTAATTCCTTCCTGGAAACAGATGGTGTTGTTTTGGCCTTTGCCTTTCTGTCACAGTAGATCCTTGTGCTGTATTGAGTGAAAGGGTATTTTATGCCTTTTGAGCATTTTTTTTTCTCCTAATCGTGGCCACACAAAACTCTTAGAGAAGTATCAGCATCTCAAAACCCAGTGTGGTGCTTTTTTTTAAGAAAGCTGAGTTCCAAATTTAATTAGAATTACTTATATTATGCTTTTAATCTGCAATATAATGACTATCTGAGAGCAATTAAGAGCAATAAGCTTCTCCTCAGACCTTCTTTCTCTGAAGATTGTTGTAGGCAATATAGAAACTAAAAACAGCGTTCCTCAAGCGGGCTTTGAAAAGCCACAGATCATCTTCTGATGATAAATCTTCATTTCAGTTGTTCATTAGTTTTATATTATACAGGTGACAGCGTTAATTTAATGCTGATATTCAATTCCATGTGCTGAATATTAATAGGAAACTTTAGAGATGGTGATATTAAAGAATTAAAAGGACTTCTACTCTGTTCTTTATTAGTTACTCGGTGTAATTAGAGACTTCCCCTAGAGTGCTGTTTGTGTACTAGGCTAAGCCTAACATAAATTTGAGCATTTACCCTTTCCTTCTTAAAAAATGTAATAAAAATAATCCAGCCTTATCCCTAAGAATAATGCCAAGGCCTAAAAGACCAAAACAATTCTAATTTTCCGACACAAAATGTGAAAATAGAGAACTTGGTAGACATAAGTGCATTTGTCATGCCCCGGAATGGCTCCAAGAAAATGAATTAAAACAACAACAAATTCCCAATAAGATCAGAAGCACAAAGCCTGTGGCAAAATTGCAGAAAAAAAAAAAAGATAGCAGAAAAAAACCCAAAAACATTTAACTCCCCCCTGCTGAGCAAATGTTAGGAAGTGAGTAATTTTAATAACAATGTTGGTACAAGGAATTAGTAATAGAAGCTGCAGGGCAATTCCCAACAAGTCCTGAGTGGATATGGGAAGTCCAGGAGTAGAAGAGAAGTTGTTTCACTGCCTGAACAGATGTGGGAGGTAACAGAGTCTCCCTGGGGATGGTCTCTGTAGGTCTCTGGGACAGCAGGGAAGGCAGGACCTCCCAACCCCCTGTTTCCATTTGTGATCTAAAGCAAGGAAAGCTCCCAAAGCTTCCCAGCCTTTCTCATGCAACGATCCCTGTGGCCAGAGCCAACCCAAAGAAAAACGTATTTGGTATTATAGATACGGATTTCTTTTCATGCCAGTTCTATTTGCATTCTCTTTTCACCTCTCCCCAGCAAGAATGGCCATGTGCATCTTTGTGCAGGTTCACAGAATTCTACTAACTGTTTTTTTTTCTTTTTCTGACTTCTAGGCGAGGATATGCACAGCAAGAGGTGAGGCTGCACCTGATCACCTTTAAAATATTCATTACAGCAGCATGATTGTCCCACACAGTCTGAGCATGGGCAGCAGGTCCAGGGAGGGGATTCTGCCCCTCTGCTCTGCCCTGGTGAGGCCCCACCCGGGTCACTGTGCACAGTTCTGGTGTCCCAGCATCACAAGGACATGGAATTGCTGGAGCAAGTCCAGAGGAGGCCACCAAGTTGCTGAGGGGGCTGGAGCACCTCCCCTGTGGAGACAGGCTGGGAGAGCTGGGAATGTTCAGCCTGGAGAGGAGAAGGTTGTGGGGAGACCTCACAGCACCTTCCAGGGTCTGAAGGGGCCACAGGGAAGCCAGAGAGGGGCTGTTCATCAGGAACTGGAGTGACAGGACAAGGGGGAATGGCTTCAAACTGACAGAGGGGAAATTTAGGTTGCATATTGGGAAGGAATTGTTGGCTGGGAGGGTGGGGAGGCCCTGGCACAGGTTGCCCAGAGAAGCTGTGGCTGCCCCTGGATCCCTGGAAGTGTCCAAGGCCAGGTTGGACGGGGCTTGGAGCAACCTGGGCTAGTGGAAGGTGTCCCTGCCCATGGCAGGGGGTGGAATGAGATGATCTTTAAGATCCCTTCCAACCCAAACCATTCCATGATTCACTGTTGGGAAACTCCTGGCAACTGAATGCTTTGGATACCAGAAATATAAAGTGAATCAAAAAATTGATGAGATGCAAATTCCCTGGGGGCTGATATCCCACATGGCACAGGTGTGAGTGACATCCAAGCTGGAAGATTGCTGTTTAACAAGGTGCCAGAAGCAGTTTCCCAAGGAATTCCCTCCACGCTTGCTGTGTTTTCCAAAGTCACACCTAATCCTCTTCTAAGAGTCAGGAACTGGGCTACTCACACCTCCCCTGCAGCTCAGTGGGCTCTGTTGCTCTTGCAGCAGCATTTTCTTCAACAATGAATAACAGAGAGAAGAGTTTCCTTCAGAAAAATCTCATTTAATGACTGGCAAGATCCCCAAAAATACATTTCTGTCATAAAGGTTGATATTTACTGATTTTCTTCCTCCCTTTGCAGAGCTGGTTTGTGTCCCTTAATTCAGTTACAGAATTTAGTCCTCTTGGTCTCTGATAGAAGTCCTTGAGTTAAATATTTTAGAGAATCACCCCACGAACTGGGGATTTGAGTTTATATTTAGGCAAAGGAAATGGTGAACTGTAAAGGGATTTTAGTACATGAGGTGCTTGGCAGTGTTCTCACAGGGAGGATCTAGTGACTGCCATAAAAAAACCTCTGAAGGACCCATGGTTTTAGCATTTATTTCCATTCTTAAACCCCAAAGACCTGCACTGTAATTCTTACTGCCTAATTAACCCCTTTCTCATTTTCTTTTGTAGCAACAGCAGTTGCTGAGACCTTCTCTTCTCAGACCAGAGGTATCACTATTTTTCATTTTTTTATTATTATTTTCTAAGTTTTTAAATGGCTTTTACATCATTTCCTGATAAAAACCTGTCTGTCTCAGGTAATTTTTCCCCCTGGCTCTTAGAGAAAAAGGAAAGCTCTGGCATTGTAACCCTATTTATGTTATTTTAATTAAATATCCTAAATTTACTGCATCTTGGTATTTTCAAGGCCAGGTTGGACGGGGCTTGGAGCAACCTGGGCTAGTGGAAGGTGTCCCTGCCCATGGCAGGGGGTTGGAACTGGATGAGCTTTACTGTCCCTTCCAACCCAAAGCACTCTGGGATTCTGTGGTTTTCCCCATGAGCAACCCTTTCTGTTTCAAACCTTTCAGACCCAGAGCTGTTTCCACAATAAGCAGCAGAGCAAATGGGAGATGTTGCTATGGTGTGATACAGAATAGGGATGGTTTGTGCAGTCATTAGAAGTAATTACATCATAAGTAATAATAATATTGGCAATTGCATTTGTGCCTTTTTCATCAGACATCGCTGTGTTTGGCTGTTTGCACTCACTCAGTGTTTCTCTTTTACAGGAGCTGAGTATGGAGTCTGGAATTGATCCAGGGCAGGAATACTATGGGCAAGATTACTACAGTTATGAGCATGGGTATATTTTCATTTTCCCTATTTATTTCTGAAAATGCTGCTTTTCCAAGTTGGTGATGTTTATTATTATCAGGAGGCTTTTCTTCACCTCAGGATTACTTTAATCTTTGTGTCCACAAAAGCATGCACTGACAAGAAAACTCTTTCCAGAAGTTAAGGGGGTGCTTGATAACTCCTTGCTTCTTTAGCAATCTCATTATTCCACTTGCAGAGCGTGCTCCCATCTCTCACGCTGCTTTTACATTTGTGCTTTGGTTATTTCGTGTTTTTCTGCTGTCTTGGAGATTAATTCCCATCACCTCTTCCCCTTCTGAGTTCAGGGATTAATCCTCTCTGCTCTCTGTTCCCAGCCAGCATCTGGCCTTTTAAATTTCCCTCGAAAAACATCAGCCTGCCTTGTTCTGATAAAGCCCATTTGACTGCAATCACCTCAGGGGTGCTGGCCTTACAAGGGATTCTCCAGAACTGATCCCAGGGGACCTGCTTTTTCACTCCACAGTTATAAAAAAGATCCCCCAAGAAATCAGGTGGATGGAAGGAAGGTCATTGCACTTGGGGGATTCTTGACTGATCCCAGAGACCTCACCATTCAGGTCTGGTCATAACAACTTGTGGCCAGTTGGAATAAAAAGAGGTTTGGGAGTGTGTTGCCACTAAGGAAAAAGGAATAATTATCTTCTCGAGGTAGAGAGAAAGGAGAGGATAGAAATTTTCATCCCTTTGGGATGTGAGCATGTGCACATCGACAGCCAGGCCAGGGAGGGGATTGTCCCACTCTGCTCTGACCTGGGGCGGCCTCACCTCAAATATTGGGGCAGTTTGGGGCACCCCAATATAAGAAAGATATTGAGCCATTAGAGAGTGTCCAGAGGAGGCAACAAGGATGGGGAAGGGCCTTGGTTTGAAGCTGTGTGAGGACACTGAGGGCACTTGGTGTGTTCAGCTGGAGCAGAGGAGACTAAGGGGAGACCTCAGTGCAGTTCCACCTCCCTGGGCAGGGACTGAGCTCTGCTCTGGGGGGACCAGGGACAGCACCCAGGGAATGGCTGGAGCTGTGCCAGGGCAGGGTCAGGTTGGATCTCAGGGAAAGGTTCTTCCCCCAGAAGCTGGTTGGGCACTGACCAGGCTCCCCAGGGCAGTGGGCACTGGAGCTCCAGGAGGGTTTGGCTGATCCTCTGGGGCACAGGGGGTGACTCTTGGGGATGGGGCTGTGCAGGGCTGAGGGTTGGACTGGATGATCCTCGTGGGTCCCTCCCAGCTCAGCTGGTTCTGTGATGTGTGATTCATTGCTGTGTGGTGGGCCATGGCTGTGCTGGTGCTCACGAGGTGTCCCTGGCAGGTACGAGCTGCCGCAGTACGGGAGCCGCCGCCGGCTGCTGTCCCCGGCGGGGATGTACGACGAGTACGGGGAGGTGGTGGTGGAGAGCGACGGTGGCTACTACTACAGTCCCCATGGACCCACAGCTGAAGAGGTGAGAGGCTCTGGGGTGCTGAGCCTGCCTCTGCAGCAGGATGAAGCACCACCAAACCGTGTCAGATGTGTGTTATTATTGATTAGACCGACGTTCTTCACAGACCAGATAAGCGTCTCTGCCTTGCTGATGATCCCTAAAAGTTTGTGTCAGCACCTCTTTCCCTTCTCCTAGAAACAGAAAGGAATTGCCAAGTTTCTTTGACTATCCACATCTATTTTTTCCCCTCAATGCAGATTTTCAGTTCAAAGAAAAATCCACGTAGCCTTAGGTAATTCCATTTTATATCGTTAACCAAATGAGGGGACCTTCTGATGTGTGAAGGGGCTACAGGGAAGCTGGAGAGGGACTGTTCATTGGGAACTGGAGTGACAGGACAAGGGGGAATGGCTTCAAACTGAAAGAGGGGAAATTTAGGTTGGATATTGGGAAGAAATTGTTGGCTGTGAGGGTGGGGAGGCCCTGGCACAGGTTGCCCAGAGAAGCTGTGGCTGCCCCTGGATCCCTGGAAGTGTCCAAGGCCAGGTTGGACAGGGCTTGGAGCAACCTGGGCTAGTGGAACTGGATGATATTTAAGGTCCAACCCAAACCATTCTGTGTTTCAATGATTCTGATACTAATATTCCTCCTAAAACTGATGACTCCACTGAGCAAAGCACTACCTGAACTCATTATCGTAAATTTCACAACTGAATGTAAAAAAAATTTGAAATGTCAGTGGCAACAAGAAGAAAGTGGAAGTAAAGATTCCTTTAAAAAAATAATCTAATTTTCATGAATCCTAGACTCTTAATCCATTATTAAATGAGAAGAAATAACATTCCTGAGCCAGTATTTTTCCCTGTTGCAGAGTAAGTTAGTTGTGCACTTGCAGCCTATTCTACAAGTAAAACTTTCCTCATAACTTTGGTAAAAAAAACCCATTCTGTAACAGGTAAGTTAGTTTTGCTGCTGAGAAAAAAATGGTGTGTTTGTTCCTACTGACTTATTTTAGGGTACAGGCTTTTGCTGTAACTGTCTTTCAGATGGTAATCAATTCATTTTCGTGATTTGCAGGGGATGAGTCAAGTCAGAGGTGCTCCGAGCAGAGGGATAAGCCAGGCAGCAGGGGCTCAAATAGCAGCTAGACCTTTAGGTGGTGGGATGGACCCAAGGCGTGGTCCTGGACTGTACAGGACCAGCCAGGGCAAAAGGAGGCTGAAAGCAGTGATGCATGTGAGTCGTGTGGCAGTCAGTGCTCACAAACCGGTGGGAAGAGCCGAGTCCGCTCGTTCCCGATGGAAGAAAGCAAAGATATTCCCGATGATCCTGCAGAAAGTGAAGGGCAGCAGGAAGGATTCCAGCTATGCCAAGCTGATGTCGGCTCGCCAAGCAGAGGGAGACAAAAGCATGATCATCAGGGGAAGCTACTTCCAGAAATCCACAGATGACAGACCTTCCATGAGGAAGCTGAATCACGTGTTAAAGCGTATCAGCGTCTCCAGGAAACTTCAGGAGCCCCTTGGCAAGGATTTGGCACGTAGAGAGGAGGAGTCTGAAAGAGAGGAAGCAAAATCAGGGGTTTCAATAAGTATCACAGCAGAGAGTGAGCAGGAGGACAGTGACTATGAGAAGAAGAAGAAGAGAAGGAGACACACCTCAGATGAGTCATCTGAGAAGAGCAGCAGCTCCGGCTCGGAGTCGGAAGACAAAGACTACTTGAAAATAACTCTGGACCAAGATGAAGCCACAGAAAGCACCGTGGACTCGGATGAAGAAACTGGGCAGGATTTGGGGGATTCTGAGGACGACTCTGAGTCCAGCTCCAGCAGTGAATCGGAGGAGGACTCATCTGAAGAGGACGATGACGAGGAAGACTCGGACAGCGATGAGGATAGCAGCCTGTCAAAGAGCTCATCCACACGAAGTTCCTACAGCAGATCAGGGACCAGCGAGTCCAGCAGCCTCAGAAGCACTGAAATGTCCAGTATAAAAAGCAGGGGAGGGAGCTCTCATGGCAGAGCGAGACACTCCAGCCAGAAATCCAGCGGCTCTACTGCATCGGGCAGTGACAGGGACACGAGCTACAGGAAAACTTCAGGATCCAGCTACAAGAGCAAAACCTCCTCCGCCAGCGTGGGGATAGAAGACACCATAGAAGAGGTGTCAGAAGAAGAGGAAGAAGCAGATGAGACAGCAGATAGTTCAAGCAAGGCAGCTTCTAAAACATCTGCAAAACCTGGAGAGGGCAAGAAAGGGAAATCAGCTGTCAGTGGTGAGGAGAGCGAGGAGGAGAGCGCAGAAGAGGCTGACACAGGTGGTAGTGACAGGGAGGAAACTCTCAGTAAGAACGGATCTTCTGGCCTAGAAAGTGAAATGAGTGGGATTTCCAAAGGTCCCAACGTGAAAAGAGTGAAAAAGGGAAAAAAGGTGTCCCAGGAACAGAGTCAGTCTCAGTCAGGTGAGAGCCTGGAGACTGGAGTCACGGAGTCGGAGGCCGCGGGGGATTCCACGTCCTTCTAAAGAGGAGTGACAGTAGGTGCATGGTTTGCAGTGAGGAGTGGGTTTGTTTGCTGTGCCTTCTGTGTGGTCTTTCTGCTGACTAGAGATAGCCAAAGAGAAAAGGGCAAAGCTTATTGATTCAGCTTTTGACTGTCTTAAGGCTGGAACTGTAGAAAACCAAACTGTCTGAGAGGAATATACATGTTTTAGATAGATAGAGATATATATATATACACACACACACACTATATATAAACACTTAGTGATTCACGGTGGATAAAGATTAACTTCCCTGGAGCAATGGCAGGAAGAAGTGCTTTATTTTCCTGCTGATTTCCATAATATAGGTGAAGATGCATTGTGATGGTTCTTGGGTTTATTCCTTTTGCATCACACACGTCATGGAGCAAAGGAAGGTCGTGTTCTGCAGTGGCTGTGACGGAGCTCACCGAACCTGAGGGCACAAACCCCGTGTTCGTGCATGGGTCTGACACAAAAGGGAACACTGCAGGAAGAAAGTGGGGCAAAACATGGGATTCAGGGGAGAACTGGAATGATGAGGATGAAAAAATTTTAAAATCGCACATATTTTCACCTCACAGTCCCCTACTATACATTTGCTCATCTTCAGGTGACTTCTCTGCTGGCAACATCAGCCCCCTTTGCAGGCAGGACAAGGGAAACTGCAGCACAGAAAGGCTCCCAAAACTGCAGAGTTTACCTGGGAGAGCTGGGATTGAACTGGTTCTGGATCGTGGGATTCAGGTTGCAAACCCCAGTGATGCACGAGACAGGGGTGCAGAGGGAGGGGCACCCAGTGAGCTGGGTCAGGAAAGGAAGTGGATCACATTTCCCGACTTCTGCCCTTCCTGCCTAACAGCACAGTGATTTCATTTCATTTTATTTAAACATCTAGTTGAACTGGATTCAGGATCACTTGCCTGCTCCTCTGCATTCCCGTACAGCACAACAGTGTAGCTGCACAGGGTGTTTCAGCAGGACTCCTGTTTAAACCAGGCAGTCTTTTCATCCAGCAGAATATGAAGAAAATTGTATGTCTTTGCCAGGAACAATGGGAATAGGCATCAGAGTCCCAATTTGTACCGAGTGTGACTTCTCAAAAGCTTAAGAATAATCACCACCCCTTTGTGCCTTGCATGATTTTCTTTCTCTAAAAACTGTCATTTTTCAGGTTCATGTGTGTTTTGCAGGGGGAGTTAACTGATGGTATCTGCTGATAGTGTTTGAATCATTAATTCAGGAAGGGTAGGAGCTCGTTTCAGCGTACTGCAAGGAGACATTTATTTTAAAAAGATCAATTATAATTAAAATAAGTAGTGGGGTTTGTGTAATCACTCTGTGGTAATCACTATTAGTACAAAGTCTCAGCAGCGTGGAAATTGTTTGCATTAATTCTTAAAAAAAAAATATAAATTAGATAAAATCTGAAGTCTTGTTTCTCCACCATTTTCCATTTAATAGCCAAGCATCTCCATTGATTCCACCAGGCTGGAACTGGCACAGAGCCTTATATTGAGCCCTTCTTTTTATAGCCAGCCAATTTTGCCGACGCCGTGCCTGAGAATTTCCCTTGTGGAGGTCCCGAGCTTTCCTCTGCTCGATGTGTTGTGCATATAAAGCAGAGCTGCTCAGTGCCATTTCTGCACTGAATCCACAATGGAGTCATGGAAGAAACCTTCTAAGGCCTTCCCAGAACTTACACATTAGAGTGGTCTCTTGAAAGCGTTGCCTCCACAGCAGCTTCCTCCTCAGCGCCTTCCAGTTCCCGTGCGCAGCCCAAGGTGCACAGACCGAGTTAGGAAAAACTGATATGAGTTATTAATTAATTAACAGATAGAAAAAGGGCAGGGAGACGTAAGAAGTGGCAGGGGAGGGATGTAACGACTTTTCTGTTTCTCGTCAAACAGTGGGCCAAAAAGAAAAGGATCAAGTTGATAGTGGACCCGGAGTACGAGACCAGCTCCACGGGAGAGGACAGCGCTCCCGACTCGGGCCAGAGGAGCCGGCTCAGCAACCCCAGCGTGCAACCCAACGTCAACGGGAACATCTACATCGCCCAGAACGGCTCCGTGGTCAGGACCCGGCGCGTCTGCCTCGGCAATAACTTAAAAACCACGTCTCCTGCGAGGCTGGGGAAACAGTTCAAGAAACTGGACAAGCTGGCGGTGACGCACGAGGAGAGCGTCCCACTGAACACGTTGTCAAAGGGACCTGCTCCCAGTGACAAAATGAACACAAGACCTTGCAGTGTCTCCTTTGCTGCCTCTACTATAGGGGCCGAAAATATAGTAACAAAGCCCGGGGGGTCCAAAATGAAAAGCACAGAAGAGCAGGAGTCAGTCGTTGACCACGAGGATGTCAAAGAGCCCTTGGAGTCGCACAGTGAACACACACAGTCAGACGAGGAGGAGCTCTGGATGGGCCCTTGGAACAACCTTCACATACCAATGACGAAACTGTGATCTTAGTTCCCTTTTTTTAATTTTCATTTTTACTTCGGTTTATAATAAACTGCGCTTTTTATTGTCACCCAGGGGAGATGTCCGAGGTTTGTGTTGTGCACACCCGTCCTCTACAAACGGCACGCTTTAAACTCTCCAAACACAATTTGCACTCACATTTGTACCGAATAATTGTCCTCCCCACCAACTCTTTTGACAGGCTCCCATTTCACTAAACAATCCCTGGTTTAAATTAATGAGTTCTTTTGGATCTGGATTTCTTGTTTTAATAAACAGTAAACTACTAATAAATGCACAGCACCATTTGGTTCACTTTTCAGGCAGTTCTATACCTGCCTAGCTTGTTTTTCTGTATGGTACTTGTGGCTATACTGTTTAGATTTGGAAATTGTCTATTTATGTTCGAGATTTATTATCCAGAGCTCTGCATTCTGAACTCAGAGTAATAAATTAAAAATAAATCCATGAAAGTCAATGGAGCAAATCCTCGGCTGGCTTAAATTTGAGTAACAATTCCAGAGTCGATAGGGAGAGAGCAGTTCATGCAAACAGAGCACCTCGCTCAGTGCCCAGCTGGAAAACGTGTGGAATCAGAGTTCCTGAAATTACAGCACTTGCCACGTAGAAAAGTAGAATAGAAAATGAAATCAGATAAAAATTGCAAAGAGGAAGGAGATGTGTAGCAATTAATCATATTCAGAGCTACCTGGCCGTGGTTTGTTCATTTTCTTCTGTAAATGAGCTCGTTCCAATTTTCTTCTCCAGTCAATTTTTCATCTTTTCACCTCTTCCCACATCAGTTCTGTTTGCTTCTTTCTACGGTCTTTAGCTGCAGTTTTTATGCTCCAGCAGTAATTGTCATCCTATGGCTATATTCCCACGAAATAAGCCGGGATGATACACGAGCCTGGGTGATAGAAGTAGGCATTAAAGAGTAATTAATAGGAAGGAGATGGATCCATTTCCAAGCCCAGCTGGCTGTTGGGTTGAGCGGTGCAATCACCATTCCACTCCCATAGTGGTGAACATAAACCTGCTGAAAAGACAAATGGATGGCAGGGGGAAGAGGATAAAAAGGGAATATTTTATGAGGGTAATATGCACAGACAGATCTGTGAAGGGCAGAGGGTGTCAGAACACACACACACACAATCATTTCCCAAACTTTCAGTGCACATTACTTGGAAAATACACACCATAAATTTGGGCACGTGCTTCTGATTTCTGTTTGTACCTCAGAGTAACGAGTTGAACAGGGAGCTGAAAAATGCCCCTGTTTGTAGTCACCAGTACCCAAAAGGCATTGATACAGAGCAAAGTATTTCTTCTCCAGTGTGATATAAGACAGAAAAAGTGTCTTGTCGTGTTGTGCCAACTTTTTTTCAGCATAAGATCAAACTAGCTGCGAGAATCATACGGATTGTTCTGGAAAGACTGGAAGAGTCGACACGTGCGATCAGTAAGGAAGTGATTGGTGGCGTCATCCTTCTTCCCCTGTTCTACAGCTTCACCACAAGATGTGGGTGAGGATGGTTCTGCTCTGGCAGGAAATGGACTTGTGCTGCTGTGCCCCTTTTCCACAGGTTCTGCTCCTCCAGACCCCTCGGGATGTGTGTCTTTAGGAGCCGTCCGCATGTTCTGCCGATGTAAACGTGACCTTCCTGTCAAATACCTCCTTCTCGAGCTGAGGTTTCTGACCAAATATTTTGAGCAATGGTGCTTGTTTTTAGGCATGAGAAATGCAATGTAGCCTATCACACACAAGGGGAAAAAAAAAAAAAACAAACCACCGGGTATTTCTTTTTCTTAACTCTTTTATCTTGGCATATTTGCACTTGGTACCTAACAAAAAAAAAACAGCTGTTTGGAATTTAGCTGGAGGCTGGACATACACATAAGACTGATGGAAGAAAGAAAAAAAAAATCTATTCTTTGAAATAACTAGTAAAATGTTCTATTTTAATCCTGTTTAAGATACTGTTATTATTTCACTCCCTGATTTTCGTTGCAGAGTCTGTCAGTTCTGTTCTTACCAATATTTCAATGTGCTTTGGAGAGAAACGTTTTCTCCCAGCTGCTCTCAATTTTCTGAGGGAAAACCAAGTTGTTTCTTTATTTCTAGAGACTCAGAACTCTACCAGCTGTAGCTCTGAGAAGGATCCTCAGGCTGGACACTGGTGGTCAGTAGTGCTGTCTGTGCTTCTCAGAGGCAAAACCCCTCAACACCATCTCCTTTGTGCTGTCCAAGCACTCAGAACCTTTCCCACAATGCAAAGAGCATAACAAATTCCACTTTTTCAGCAGTGGGGGGCTGTGTTATCTAAAGTTTTAGCTCAATTGTAGCTAAACTTTCCAAAGCACTGTTGGCTTTGTAAAATCTTTCACGTGTGGGTGGGAGGGGGTGGGTGTATTTCTTTTTTCTTTTTTATTTTCTGTGGATGTAATCCTGTAAATTAATACAGAACTCCCAGCTTTGCTTTCTGGGGATGGCACGCTGACAGAGTGATCCAGTCAAAAAAGTCACTCCAACTGTCCCTT